CCCCCCCCACAAAAGCAGCCAGCATCTACATTTTAAGAAGTTTCCTCAGGTTGTGTGCACTGGTTATTCTATATTGCCTTCAATTCGTTGTTGCTAATAGGGGAGGGTTGAAAGACGTGGTTCACATGCCAAATCTGGCCTGCAGAGCCCTCCCCCTGCTGCCCCAGGTCTCAGTTGACCCATGTGTTCACCCACCCTGCCCACCGGGCTTGGGACACAAACTGCCCATTCATTCCACATGCCCAGACTGGCAGGGACCATGTGTGTGGCAGTCCTGGACTGTTTGGGGAAAAACACGTGGCCTAAATCCCAGAGGAGTTGGGAGGGACTCTGCCTGGAGCACTTCCTGTGGCACACTGGAGGCTGGGAAGGGGAGGGGCAGCCATTCATAGACCCAATCAAGCCTGTGCTGCCAAATGGAGTTTACAGCCTTGTTTGAAATGAAGATAGGGGCACTCCACACCTCCACCCCATGAGCTAAATCAAGTCTTTTTTTTTTTTTTTGGAAAAAGAAAAGACTCTTCCTTAGCTACCACCAATGAACATTGGCCAAGGGAAACTTCAGAGCAGCCAAACCCCAAGTCTCTGGGCTTGGGCCTGCACACAGGATGCCTGCCAATGGATTAGCTGAAGCCCCACGCTGACAAGTCTGGGTTGGAGAGTACTTGCCAGCTGGGTAGCGCCACATATGCAGTTTGAACGATTGAGCTTTGCTCAATCAAGAGGATTTGGAACCAATTTGGCTAATTTGAGCTAGAATATGAGAAGCGTACCAACAGGAGTTCCTGTGCAGGGCTCTAAAAATGGGTTACGGTGGGAAGGAACAGTAGCCAGACAGCGTATATACATCACTATCGATTCATATAGAAGAAAGATACACTTTTTACAACTAAAAAAAGCCTCAAAAGCTCACGGCTCCCCGCAGGTCAGGTAGTCTGGGCGGGGAGCACGTGGCGGGCTAGAGGCCCAACCCACCCAGGCTCCGTCCCGCCCCGCGCCCCCGAGCCCTTTCCCGCGTGTCCCTCGCTCCAGTCAGCTCCGCCACCGACGGCACGGTGCGAGCCTTGCCAAATAGCGAGGCGTTACTCTTCCATGTCTAGGAAGGGAAGCTGCCACAGCCGGCAGGTCCCACGGATTCATGGTACATCGCCCACCCCGGCAATGGCGCCTACCTGAGAGAGGCGTCGCCATCCTGGCACCGCCGCCCGGGCGCTTCTTCACCCCCCGCGTCGCTGGCAACCGCCGCCACCAACGGCGCGAGGGGGCCAGAAGGGCTGAAACCACGCGGCGAAGGGGAAGATAGAACCCTCCACATACCAACCCGCGCTTGCAGCTCGCTGCCTAAAGAGGAAGCCCTTCCTCCCGCCCGACTCCTGATATAGGGAGCGCCCTTCCGGGTGACGCCAAGGCCCCGCCCCCTCCCCTCGGGCGGGAAGGGGAGGCTCCATGAGCCGCGCCGCAGCTGCCGCCGCTTCCTCCTCCCCCCCCCCCGCGCAGGCGCAGAGCGCCCTGCTCAGTGCCTGCCGCCTGAGGGGGTGGAGCTCCCTGCTGTCAGAGAGCCCTGACTGGTAGGCGCGCCTCAGTGGCCCCGCAGCCCCCAGCTGTGTCTCAAAGTGGGCGTTCCATCTCGTGACGGCGGCAGTGTGGGCGGTGACGGCACGGGCCAGCTCTTGCCCGGCCGTTGGGCGCTCAAGTGCGTGGGGAAGTGCACTTTCAAGGCCCAAGCGCCTGAGCCCTTGGTGCTGCTGCCAAGTGGTTCCCTGGGGAGAGCTCTCCCAGCATGTGGTGGGAGCCAGGGAGCTTGGGAGTCGGGGGGCGGAGCTGACATGTTGGAGGTCTCTGGGGGAGAGGAACAGTATGGAAACCCCGGGGGGTCCTGCTTGCTGTCCCTCACGGCCCCAGCACCGAAAACGGGGAGATGGTCAGACCTAACATCCAGTTCAGGGTTATGGGGTGGGAGCTTTGGGGGTTGTCCGTCCGTTGGCTTGCCGCGCTTGCAAGTGAACGTGGGAGACCGCCCTAAGACATACTAACTTTACTACACTGCACCAGGGCTGCTCAACCACTGGCCCGTGGGGCAGTTCAGGCTGGTGGAGCCATAGCATCTGGCCCACAGGGCTGGCTCCCCGTGGGTTGGGAAATCTGGCAGTGGGGGAACAGTAGCAATGAATACAGCCACCCCTCCCTGCTAGCAGATTTCCAAGCCCCACCAGTGAGTGGGAGCTGACCCGTGCCGGCATCCCTCTATGCAGCCATGTTAGTGCCAGGCCATGCCCCCTCCTACCCATGGGTCCAGGCCCTGCATTTCTCCCTGTGCAGCTGGGTTGGGGCAAGGCCACACACACTGCTCCTCACACAGCCAGATTGGGGCTGGGCCGTGATCGCTTCCTCTGCTGGGCTACAACCCCTTCCCCTGTGTGCCAGGCCAGGGCTGGGGCATGACCCCTTCCTCTGCTAGGCCACAGAAAGGACTGGACAAGTGGATATGAGGATGTAGCAACTTATGGACAAGATGAGCAGCCATACATTACTAGGGGGCGAACTATCTGCTGCCTATTCCCAACGTCTGCCTCTTGCCTTCCGTCACCTCCCCTCTCCTCAGCACAGCATACCATGCATGGCCACATAGGGGCTGGGCCATGCCTCTTTTTCTCTGGCAAGGCTGGGCTATGCTCCCTCCCTCCCTGTGGGGCTGGGTTGGGGCTGGGCAAAGCCCCTTCCCCTGTGTATCTGGATTGGGGTCAGGCTGCCTGCTCCCCCCATGCCTCAGTAGCCCACTTGGAACCACTGGCTGGATCCAGGGGACAGACCGAGTGCTGTACATCTGGCCAGGCAAAAAGTTTGAGCACTACTGCACCACCACATCCAAGGGTTTTGCAGCTATTGCAAGTGAATGTGAGACAAGGCCCTACGCCTGAATTTCTGCAATTGATAATGCTTGTTTTTAGGCTAATTACATCTTGTGTTATACACATGGACTTATACATGTACTGTTTTTCTTTCTTTGATTTTGTAGTCTAGAAATCAATAAAAAGCACTTACCTGCTAAGTGTGGTATTTGATGTCAAACCAAATTGCACAGGACACGTTGGGGATACTGCCAAGTATTTGGGTAAAAGGCGAATTCACAGAATAAATAACAGCAGTAAAGATGTTACTGTATAATGACAAGATCCTCTCCCATGGTGGAGGCAACACATCAGTAACAGAGAAGGGAGGCTAGAGCTTACTTGCAGCAGTCTTACCTGTATTATGATCCCTAGACCTCTGATGGATCAGAGCCAATTGTTTTAAACCAGAACAGCCCCTGTGCTTTAAATATACTTATACCTGTGCATGTCTACGCATGCACTTGAGTGCACAGTAGCTTATTCTACTGCACATTAAATTGTCATGTAAAAAAAAGGTAATTACACTAATATGCAGTAAAATAGGCTACTGCACATTAAGCATCACTAAAAAAGCATGCACTTTTGCTACTGAGCATTAGAGCAGCCTAATGTACTTTTATTTAGTACCTCACATTGGAGCTACTAAATTTAATGCACATTAGGAAAAACACATTAATGCACATGTAGACATGTCCCCTGGGTTACATTTCTTCTCCCCCCATCTATATCAAAGAGTCACTGCCATTTAAATTGTCACTTGGCCCATCGTGTCAAGAATTCAGTGTGAACCCAATTTCTGTCAACCTCCACATGCCCGTGTCCCTTATTCTTTGCCATACAAGGGACTCTGTGTACATCTATTCCTCCCGCCCATGAAGGCAAATGTCTTCGATTTCCTTCCAACGGCTATCTGTGTACACATTTTCTCCCCGTTTCCATCTGAAATCTCCCTTTCTGCCATACTGCATTGAACTCAGCAGGACTTCTCTGTGCACCCAATCTTCTCCTTTCCCTGTACCAGGAGTTCTGGGCCCCTCTATTCATGCATCTGCTATCTCCTATTTTTCTTTTACTTCTACTTGTTTTTAAAATTGGGCAAACAGCAGAACTGAGCTAGGGACCTGCTAGCTGGGATGTTAATGGCTGACAATTACACAAAGTATCTGCAAAGTAGATGTCAGAGGGATTCATTCCATGGGTTCCCACATTGCTTACCTTTGGATTTTTTAGTTTTAACAAAATCAATAGGAGTCTGGCCACAGATGTCAACAACACTCTTTGAAATTTTGCAATTGATTGGCTGCAACATTCGAAGCTTAGTGCATGAGAAACAGACAAAGAAGTCCCACTGAGGTGAGTATTTCATACTAGTCCTGCCAGAAAACAGTGGTTATACAAGCTGATTAGAAAAATTAAGAAGTGATCAGAATTCAGGGTTGCTCTCATGTACCTCTCCTCTCAAACTACTATATTCAGATGTTATTTAGGTAAGCTGTCAACATAACCACTGGGTGGCTCTGCTGTCTCACTATTTGGGCTTGATATTTAGCAAAAATGTATTATTCTCTGAAAGTTGTTGGGTTCAAGAAAGTTCATCCAATGTTGCTTACAAGCATGTAAATATACAATCTAATGATGAATGTCATGTAGGGTTACAGTGTTCTTAATGGATATATCAAGCTACCGAATATATATTATATTTTCAACCTGTTATGCTAAATTAACATGCCAAATGCTTTACAAATCCATTAGCTTCTACTGACATTGCAAAATATTTTAATTAAATGATGACAGTATTACAACTATTCAGGCTCGCTGATAGAGATAAACATGGTCTTCAAGTATCTACGAGGACACAATTTATGGGATTTTAAAGTATCACTCTGTGGTGGTAGTAGTAGTTTCCCAGATCGTTAGTGAAAACAGCCTTTGTACCAATAGCCCATTCTTAGGAACTGTTCCATGTTGGCAGGAGAGACTTCTTTGATCTTGGTGATCACATTTACAAAATGCTGATGGATGAAGGAGATGTGCTATGCACGCAGACAGCACTGCTGTGTTTGTAGCTGGAAAAGTGCAGTCATAGTTGCTGCTATATATATTTTTTAACATTTAGAATTGACATAAATCTTTTTGTAATCACTTGGTTGGATCATAAAATGTTATAAAATTAATAGGAATGGGTTTATAGGCCTCTGAGATTTTCAGACTTTGGCACCTTGGCAGATTTTTCACTTCCAAGAATAATTTATTTTGCTAAAGTGAGTAGGGTTTGTCTGCATTTTTGAGTGATAGCTGGACAACCCTGTTTATCTTCTAATTGCTATCTTGCAGGGATAGTGATGGATTATATTCATATTCATCACCTAAATGCATGTATGTGTAACAGTGACGCTTTCCTGACATTCCATCCAACCTTCTAGCTTGCCATCACCTTCTGTATTTGAATGGGTAGTTCAGGAATTGTAAATTAAAAAGAGAGGGCCTGATTTTAAAGCTATTTAAAAATATAAATTATGTGTAATGCTGACAGGGGCTGTCTATACAGCTCAATATCTGTGCACAGAGATACCCAAGCTAGGTTAGGTACCAAAGGCTTTTCAGCAGGGATGTTTAGTCTGGGTATAGTGTGATATTAATGTGATTGCACAGAATCTGGTACTTGAGCTAGCTTTCTAAAAGTACTTGGACAGGGCAGCACATTATGCCACACAGACTTACCCTGAATTAAATTATACCAAAAAGAGCGTGGTTTGAGAACAGAATCAGATCCCCAAAGATACAATCTCAGGAGAATCATAGAGCTCCTGGACTATAGTTTTGTTCTTTAGTTTCAACACACATTTTAATCTATGCAATTGTCATTTTTTTATTTTTATTTGGAATTGGTCAATCCTTAACAATGTGAAACAAATGTCTTGATCACAAGGGGTGCAAAATCAGAACAGCTGAGGCATAGTTGACAGTATAAGCTGGTGACCATACCTCCAGTATGCTTTTTTTCCTTTTGTACTTTCCTGAAGATCAGGAATTAAGATCAAGGTAGAGACTGAAACTTAGCTATTTGCAAAATGGGAGCATTCCTTTTAATGAAGACATTTTCATTAAAAGGAAGGAAGAAAAAGGTTTATTTTCCTTTTTTCTGTTATCTCTCTCTGTTAAGTGTTGGTCAACAAACGTTTGGTTTTCTCATCATTCCTTTTCCTCTACTTTTTTGCCTGGGGCAAGCTTGGTGGGGCAGTAGCAGTTTTCTCCTGTAAATAAATTACACTGGAAGAAAATAAACTGCTTAAAGTTCTCATTGCTACCCAGAAAGGGATTTACTAGCCCAAGGCTGAAAGTGTTTTCACATACTCTGGGCTAAATTCTGCTGTCCAGTTACAGTGACATGAGCACAGTATAACTCCTTTGGGTTTGATTAATCCACATGGGGAACACAGTTGTACAATTTGTACAAGTTGGAGCAGCAGCACTGGAGGATTCACCTCAGAGAGCAAGGTTGTGGCACTGTTACACCATCTTGTATTTTCTGTCCAGAGAAGGCAGTGTTAAAATCTATTACGGACTCCATGGACAATACCCTAGCTAAAGCTGCCTTGATGATGAATCAGTGCTGATTCTAGATGCTCTAGTCCACTTACTCCTCTTCTTTTTTGGACTGTGTACAGGCCTGGTACGAGATTACAAATAATTTGAATTTCTGCACCTTAGAAACAGGCCAGGTGTCACACTGACTTTATATTGGAGTAACAGAGAATTAATATTTTCCAGTGAAAAAAAATATTATTTCCAGAGTGGATTGCTGGTGATGAAACTCCTACAGATGAGGCAGGGAGGGATGGCTAGTGTACGAAGCTCCATTTTATGTCAGGATTTTGTTGTTGGCCACTTATTTTCCTGGAAAACCAGGACACAGTAGAAAAGATTGGAAGAATGTGAGTCCTGTAAAGCAGCTTTGATCTTAAAAGGCCAGCTTTTATGTTATTGCTTTGTACTATGACTACTGAGCATTATTTCAGAAAGGTAACATTACTCCCAGTACAGTGCAAAAGGAAAAAGTCACATTGAAGGTATGATCATTAGTTTATACTGTCAGTTATACCTCAGCTATTCTGATTTTGCACCACTCGTGCTCAAGACTATGCTATGCAAATAAACAATGACTTTATCTGATGTGTCTGAATTGTTTTAAATCCCAGTGTTTTCTTTTTAAAAGGGGCCCCACAGTTAAGGTGCAAACACTCTCAGTTTCTATAAAAAGTTGCACCATAGGAATGTTTTTAAAAACACCTGAGCTACTATTTACTGTTGTTTCTGCTACTCTTATCAAATTTAAGTCATTGTATTCAATATAAAAGAAACCCAACATTAAAAAATATAGGTTACATCACCTCTGTATAATGAACAGAATGTTTCATACATTTTCTCTTTCTCCAAGAAAACTGTTAGCTTTTGTTTGGCTAGGTAGCACTAGGGTGAAATGGTTCATAGACTTCACTGCATGTTCTTTCTTTGGTCATTCATAGTATTTTTACGGGCTTCTCTAATGCCCCCCTGATGTCTAGCAAAGGCTGCTGGACTGGCTCAACTATTGAACAATGTTCCTCCAAACTTCACCTCAGGGCCAATACTTCAAATACAGTCCCCTTGCTATGAGTGTATCAAGATTTGGAAATGTTACTCAAGCACATACACAATTTCTGGCACAGGAAATAAAAAGCAAGCAGCAAGCAAAAGCTGTAAAACAAGCAGTTGCATAGAGCAGTAATATCCCCCTATTGACACAGTAAGCAATATTTTTCATTTGTGAAAAACTTTCATGCAGCTAATGTGCTCTGGACTGTGTTACACCTCAGGGTCAAGACACAATAGCTGTCAAGAAGCCCAGAGGAGGAGAACTTTTATAAATATAAAAATCACTACCAAATAGCAGTTTGTTTTCTTATCAGAGTTTATTTGTGCACCTCAGAGATCATGCTACTATCAGAATAATATTCAGGTTTCTTTTAAATTTAAATTTAAAAAAATTTTGAGAAAAATGTTTCCAGTAATTTTTCATTCAATGTGAATGACAAGAATATTACATCTATAAACATTGAAATATCTATTTAATTTCTTCCTGAGGAAGTTTCACATTTTAAGCAATGAAAAAGGGTATTCTGTACAAGCTAGCCTGCAAATCAATCAACTCATTCTTTTCTCACAGGTAAAGCTGGGAAAATACCACAACATTTTCAAGAACATTTGCTTAAATACTTAAGTGAGTTTATATCCGCTGTCTTTATACCCCTGTATGTTCACTTTTTGCAAATACCTGTGCATTGATTTTTACTGGAACAGATGTTTGTGGAATGCAAATTTCAAAGTCAAATGCCTGGGTATTTGCAGAAGAGAAATGTTAAGTTCACATACACAAGTATTTGTAGGGATTGCTTGCGCATTTACCCACCACAGAACAAAACCATACCACATGATGTATTTGACCATCACAACTAAACAACTCAGCGTGACGATTTGCAATAAACTCCTTATGATCAATCAGTACATGAAACAATAAATAAAAATTGACAGCATCATTTGTGAAAAAGTGAGTCCATTTGAAATAAACCTGCAACTTGCCTGAAGATAAACTGTGAAAAGAAGAGGCTAAAATTGTCAGATAAATTCTGTCTATGAATTGCTTGCTCAGCTCCACTCCTGCATATTTGATTTGAGCTGTTGTACACAAGGTCTGGAGTCTGCATGTTTTGCTGAGACTCATTGTTCATCACTAAGCAGGCTGACCACCCAGTAAAAGCCAAGCTCATTTTTATGGGATCCTGCTGAATACTGAAAAAAACATATTTCGATAGATTACTTCTGAAGAAAAAGCTGTGGATATATACCTTCTTTGCCATTTAGAAATACATTTAAGCTCCACATATCTGGAAATTCAGAGCAGTAAATCTATCATACTGTTGTCAACTGAAAGGGCAGTGTGATCTTGCCTGTAATTATCCATTTGTGTGTGTGACAGTAGTATTTTTAATGTGCCATGCAACCTTTGCTGGGATCTTACTAGAAATGCTGATATTTAAGAGACTGATCCTATAGACCTAAATCAGGCATTGACTTCAAGAGGAATTTTAACTGATAAAAATTTCAGGATCATGCCCTGGGACAAAAGCTGAAATCCTTTCGTTCATAGCATTTACTTACATGAAAGTCCCATTGAATTTAACTGGAGGTTTTCTTGAGTAAGACCTGAATGATACGGCTCTACAGCTTGATTGTCACTTAAGGCAGTAAAACCTCTCTGAGGGAGATGAAGGTGAGAAAATCTATTAAATGATCCCCTTTCAGAGTTCCTCCACAATGTTTCACTTCAAGTTATGAGGGCTGCCAATGTACTCCTTTCCTGAGTATGAGTCTTGGCCCAGCCCTGCAAACCTGGAAGAAAATTTAGCTATTTGAAAAACCATATCTATCCTGTGCTCTGTACCCTTCTCAGCAATGTGATGGTTCTACCAGATCGTCACATATCCATGGCGCCAAAGGTCCCTATGCAAGGGGGATACTTCCCAGGTCCCATCACGGGACTCTATGGAATGGGACCCATGGCTCTGAGATACCCCATCTGCATAAAATCTCTGGGTGCACAGTGAAAACATTTTGCATATTCTACTCCAAGTCTTACCCAACCTGAGGTTTTCCATTCTCTGGCCCACCTGGGTTCCATCTCCTTATAGATCTAGGTTGTGCAGACTCCTTTGTGATGTCCCCGTAAATTATGATGGTGCTATAAACATGGTTGACACCCATCTGTCTAATATATGGGAGATGAGAGACCTGTGTGCAGGACGTTCCCTGCACATGTGGAAATTTTGGGGACCCGATCTGGCCCCAGATTTGTCTTGCAATTACTGCTTTAAAGAACGGAGTAACTACAAACCAAAGTACAAAAACTCTAGGGCCAGATTCTATTCTACCTATTAGGCTTCTAAGTGGACTTAGGCATGTAAATGCAATTCTATTCTACTCTACTCAAATCCTTTGAAATGAATTAATGCATGTACTTTTGTAACATATCAACATCTTGCCCTTAAGGGTGAATCACAGGAAAAAAATCAGTGAGGAGGAGGACCCACCCAACCTTTGTCTAGTTTTTTTTTTCAGGGTCTCAGACTAGAGTAGAATTACACTCAGGCACTTAAGTCAACTACAGTAAAAATCTTGTTATCTGGCATGAGTGGGGAATGGAGGTGCCAATAATCTAAAAACGTGGGTTACCTGAGGCACAGGGTTTTTTGACCAGATGTGGAGCTGGGGGAGGAGGGGTAGGGCAGCCACATGTGGAGCCCGGGGGTAGGGGCAGGAGGTGGCAGTGGCCATGTGTGAGCTCCCCGCCACCCCCACATGTGGCTGGAAATTCCAGTTAATAGAAATGCCGGTTAGTAAAATGCTGGATAACAGGGCTTTTACTGTAATATTTCTTAATAGGTGGAATAGAGTCTTGCCTCTGCTATTTTGTACAAAGCCTACAAATGCTTTTTCTTTTTACTGTTTGGTGAGGTTATATTTGCAGTAAAAGTGAAACTAGTAGCACTAGATAAAATCTTAAGTGTCTCCTCCTGTTATTCAGCAGCTGTTGCAAATCCATACAGCAATTTGTAAGTCACATTAACAGCCTACAGCATGCAGAGGAATTTTCCTTCATAGATATTGAGAGGACTTTTTCCAGAGTTTTAGACAACTCAACTGCTGAGCCTAATTCACTGAAGTTCTGTCCTTTTAAATGGAAATGAAATCATTTTGTCTAATAAATAAAAATGATATTCAACTTAAAGAATGTCTATTCTGCTAGATCCTCTCTCTTGTTCATGCATTCTCCTTTAGGCAATAATGTGCTGAATACTGAATATTTTTATATACAAATTTGTATGTATTTGATTTTCCAGGCTATTAAAACCAGATATTACAATACAAAATTCATAACTACTTAAAGTTACTAGTTAGAGGTACAATAAGGATCTCAATGTCTGTTTTCTATTTAGTCAATAACAAACTGGCTTCCATCCCATTGCCATTAAATTGTATAGTTTATGAACATGTAATAAAACAGTACTGATACATATAATTTTTTGATGCACGTTAACTGTCCATTTTAAGACAAATCTGGGGGACATATTTACTGAAAACTGTGTTGGGATAAAAATTACATCCCCCCCTTAATATACATAGACAGTAAGGTTGACCTACCATTGTGGTTTCTTTACTTCACTTGGTATTTATTCATTATACTTTTTAGAAATACATGTAATCATATTTCAGTGAAGAAATACCAAGGCTAAAATTTGGCTCAATTTTAATGATCTGTATCCTAAAATTTGAAGCGTTAACAATAACAGGATAATCTCATGTTTAATTTGGTGAGTGATGAATAGCAGTGAGAGTACACATTATTGTATAACTTAAGCATATGTAAGTGTTTGCACAATTAGTGCCTAATTTTATATCATGACTGCACGGTGTATTCTCTTTTATTTAGCTTATTATGAACATTTAATCCCAACTATATTAAAAATGCATCTCCTCAGAGAAGGTATATTAGCATATGCAAGTTACATATACTAAATTGGAGGACACTGGAACATCCTACACGTTTCAATCAGCATAAGTAAGATTTTAGAATACATACAGCTACTAACTGAATGAAAAAAGCATTAAAAAGAGCAGCAGAAATTAAAGTAATCTAAATATGGGTCTGTTTCTGCTCTTATCAGAATTTCACTGGTGCAAGTCCACTGTGAAACAGACTTGGAGTTATTTATGACTTACAAAAATGTGAGATCAGAATCCAGGCCCTAGGTCTTGTAATTCACAGTACCTTGAGTGAAACATCTACTAACATTGTTTCATCAGTCCATTGTTATGGCATGGTTCACAGTCTAAGGAGGCTAAAACTTTCACTACGATTATTATAATTTTAGTTTTTTAACCTGTGCTGCATATATTTATTTTTCTTTTTAAAAGCAGAGTTGGTATTGTTCAGACACGTGGTCTGTCTTCCATATTTTACTGTTTCACTGGACTGTGTATAGGAGGTATCTTGGTTAAAAGCATACGCCAGGAACTTCTATGGGATCAACATCATCCTTATGATTTATCCTCATTGTGTGGGGTCAGGTTTCATATACCAACTTTTGTTATGTGGTTTTAGCATGTGGAATCAGGATTTAGCTCTCAGGATTTAGTCTGTCCATTGTGTATACCTACGTAACGTGGACTTGTACTCCTCAATTGTGTTCATATATTTTCAGGTATCAGGTTCAAAATTTGGCAAGCATATTCCAAAGGCAGGAGTACATTTGGTATTATTAAGTGCTACATTATATTTTCTTACATTTCATACTGTATAAGACACATCATAATAGTCGAATAGTAAGAAAAAATGTGAGCAGGCAAACAATGGGCTACAAAATCTACATGAGACACAATACTCTTAGGTTGATATATAAAAGTGTAAATATTTACTATGAAACCCAACAGTTGTATCTTTACTTTTGAAGCTTATACCAGTTGCTATTGACTTCCACATGTGTGCACAGTAGTCTACAATAATTCCACTGGCCCAGAAATAATTAGGAGAATGACTTTGGGCCACCAGAGTTCTAAGAAACACCTATATTTTCACAATCCACATGCCAGCATATGGAAAGAATTTCATTCTTTTATACTCGTTTGGAAAAGATATATTTTACAACACCACCTGGTAGCTATTGGAGGCTCTAGGTAAGATGATTGAAGTGCGGAAGAGCGATTCCAAGAAGCTTTCCTTTCAATGCTATCTCACTTTCTGCAGTTCCTGTCTCAGCCAGGACGGTAGCGGTTGTCCCAATTTATGTAGGAGTTTTGACAGTTCCACATTGTGATCTCTGTAGTAGCTTGACAGAAAAGCCCTGCACTGGTAGATATAATAAAAGTAGATATTTTTATTTAATGAAATACTATATGGTGGTTGCTATTGATCCCAGGTTTTGCAGTTTTACCAGTATCAGAACTATGCCAGGCTTTCACTTACGATGTATACTTTCTCCTATCCCATGTATTACACACAAAATCTAAATTTTCAGGAGCTGAATGGCAGAAGCTTATATTACTGGGTGTATAATATTTCCAAAATGTACATCGCAATCAGAGCAACTGATTAGATTCTGATCTCAGAGTGTCCTATGTAAGTGTATTGTTACTCTGAGCTTATGCCAGTGTTAACTGAGAACAGAATATGATCCAAAAGTTTTTAGCTACTCATGACTGGATGTCTGTCACTTAGATATTTATATTTTTCAGACACATTTAGGACTGACAAATACAATACAAACAAACTCTTCCCAAATCCTGAATGTCTTTTCTCAGCGATCATATACTATTATAACTCCACTGACTTCCTGTTTTATAGCAACTAGAGAGGAGAAAAAAAAAATCAGGTCCACATAGGACAATAGCAGTTACTATTGACCAAATGTTGAAGTCTTAATTCAGGTATTACTCAGACTAAACCAAATAGGATTTCAGTTTGGTCATGACAGAATAAAAAAAGAAGCTCTAAACTCTTGCTATGATTTTGTCCCCTCATAAGGGATCTATATTTGGGCCTGAATGAAAATGACAGCATTGGGCCTAGAGAAGGTTACTTTAGTTGAACATTTTTTTAAATGGATATTTTCAAAGGCAATGGAAATCGAAACTGAACAGTTTTAAAACGTAATTGTGCAGAGAATCCATGTAATTACTCACAGACTAACTGCTCAAGAATGGAACGTGTGGAAAGGAACAGAAGGTTAGCACCACATACACACATCTGTCCATGAATACTACAAAGCATGCATGTGAATTAATTATGGGTGTGGTTCACTCTGGATGTGTCTACATGAGATGCTAACTGCACAGTAGCCTAAAAACACTGCACAGTAGCACGTCACAGCTCAGATAGTGCTAATATGTTACTGAGCAGTATCATTAAGGTACTGCACAGTAACTCTGGTGGCCGTGCATTTATTTAGTACTTAATTATACGAGTACTATATTAAATGCACAGTAACCACTGTGCATTAATGAATGTGTAGACATGCCCTCCATTCAGGAACTAGGATTTTAAATGAGTTGTAATTTTTTTTGAGGGTTACTATTTTTTTTACAGTATGAGGAAAACATTTAAAGGACAATTTCAAAACAGGCTATTTTGTAGATACCTTTGGCCTTTATGCTTTGCATTGGAAATAAGAGATTGAAAAATAATGATATACTTCATGCTATTAGGAAGGTTTTAGTTACAGGAAGAGGTAGTACATGTAATTGCTTTTTCTTTTTTGTTAAAATTTTGTATGTGCAATGTCTTTGTACATATACTGGGAACTCCTGTAAGCCATTCAAATACTAAAATGCTTTAGAAGAACATGGTTTACCTCAGAGTCCATAGGAGGGTATTTTCTGCCTTTGCTCTTTCCAAGACACTTCGTTTTTCCTTCTTCCAGGAGTTGACACCAGAAACCTTTATGTGAATCAAACCTGAAATGAATATTTTGTACACTTTTAATCCAACAAATAAGTTCCCACTCTCTTTAAGAATGTATTTATTACTTTAGTAACTTGATATTTTGTGATTACTTTCCTCCTGTTATTCACACACCCATTAACAATGGCTGGATTTGTTTTTCTTGAGGAAAAGATAAAAAGATAACGGTATTATTGTCGCCTTTTTAGGGTCTGCACTTTTAGGGTACACATAATTTAAGTACAGGCCCCATTGTATCTAGGTTCAAATAGACCCTTTCATTTTATTAGTTACGTACATAGTCCTATGAGCTAGATGTTACACAAACATGTAAGAGGACACATCCTTCTCCTGAGACACTTATAATCAAAATAGTCAAGATGGACATGAGTTGAGGAAAAGGAATACAATATGGTAACTGATGATCATATTTGCAACCCTTGCTTGTTTTGAGTAGTACCTTATTTGATCAGTTGTTTTATAGAAAACTATGGAACTATTTACACAGTAAAGGGCTATTTACTCTGGGTATAGATGGTAGAATTGGTCCTCAAATGATCAGGATGATGTTTGGCAGATGTCACAGTAGCTCCAGAGTTGAATGCAGCCCTGTCTTTTAACATATTATGGGTGCAAAGCGTAGGGTAACAGAAGAAAGGAGTAAAGTAATAGGAGCAAGGAAGAAGGGAATAGGATGGGGGATACGAAGTTGGAGTTGAGATGGGAGAGAAAATGAAGGGGTGGACTACTGTACACTCTTAATTGCCTCTTGATCACTGGGCCTGTGTGTGTTGAAAAGTAATTGGCGTAATTAGCTCCCAGTGACTTTTCACCAGTGAATTTCTCCAAGGGAGCAAGCTGGTAATTACTCCAGAATGATTATCCATGTCCATAAACTGTGCCTGGAGGCTGTGAGATCAGCTGTTTTCGTCAGCAGCAGTAGTTGTAACAGCAGCTGTGAAATTGGCAGCCAGACTCTTAAGTGGCCTTTTCCCTCAGCTGGAGGAAGGCAGTGCACAAGAGCACTTTCCCTGATGTGCTGGTACTGACAACGTCCAGCTTCAGACCCT